ATGTTAGCCCAGGGCCAGTCTTCCTCAGCAAAAAGAGGAGGATTGGCATGGATGTTAGCTCAGGGCTGATCTTCCTCACACACACACACACAAAAGAAATACTTGGGAACTTGAGTCGTCCCAGATTATTGATTTGAATCACCTGAATTTAAATCAAACCCACTCCACTTCATGAATCTATTAAGCCTGATGTATTGGAGTAGGAGTCCTTAAAAACCAACTCTGCATTAAACAAACACTGACCCACCACTTTCTGCTGGCCTCTGGAGAAGCTGCTTAGAGCCGTGGTGCCTGCCCTCGAGAGGCCCACAGGACCACAATAAAGACGAAAGGAAACAGTAGGCGGCAGAACGGGAGAGCCAACGAGAACACGTGTGGGGACAGACTGATTTGATTGTCAGTAAGGGTTGAGCTATTTTAATCAAACCCCAGCCTCTAGGATGGTTAGTCTAAAGCTTGGTGGGCACCCGAGTTAGAATTCAGGGTTCAGATCTCCAGAGCCCCAATTCTCCAGCATTTGTGCCACAGGGAAATAAAGAGCCCGCACGAAGGCCGGCCCCGTGGCTTAGCGGTTAAGTGCGCGCGCTCCGCTACTGGCAGCCCGGGTTCGGATCCCGGGCGCGCACCGATGCACCACTTCTCTGGCCATGCTGAGGCCATGTCCCACATACAGCAACTAGAAGGATGTGCAACTACGGCACACAACTATCTACTGGGGTACAACTATCTACTGGGGCTTTGGGGGAAAAAAAAAAACAGGAGGAGGATTGGCAATAGATGTTAGCTCAGAGCCGGTCTTGGTCTTCCTCAGCAAAAAGAGGAAGATTGGCATGGATGTTAGCTCAGGGCTGATCTTCCTCACAAAAAGAGAAAAACAGAGCCCTCACGAAACCTCAGGACAGCGCTCAGGCCTCGACGTGGAATTGACAGAAAGATGGCACTCCTCCCTCTTCCCTGGGAACCTCAGAACAAGATGGGGGCAGGAAAGAGAGAACTACAGGCCTATTCTTTGGGCTCCAGCTTTCTTGGCCCTTCCTTACAGCTTCCCACAGAACCCTGAGCAGGGGCGACCCACTTCCAGGAGAGCCCTGGGCTTCGGGCTCAGAAGCTTCACCGTCTTATCCTGGTTCCTTCTCTACCTTGGGACCTGGAAACTAGTCATCACCCACCTCTGGATCTGTGTTTGTGTGTGGGGACAAGGGGAGAGGGGGAGACCATGTCGAAAAGAAATTACCTGAAGGCTGTGTACTCCGGGGAGTGAAGGCAGCAACCCAGGTGATGGTGCTTCAAGCACCCAGTAGACGTAATTGCCTACTAGTGCGGAAACTGGGTTTGCATCCAGCCCTAGGCCTGGCACATGGTGGGTCTGTCATAAACAAAGTTCTGCCTTCAGGACCCCTGCCCACCTGGCTGGGGCTCTAGGCACCCTCCCCATCCTGCAAGTGACAGTCTGGGGTCCCTCCAATGCACTGGACCAGGACAAAAGGCCACCTGATTATTTAAATAGTACACCAGGTGCCTGGGCTTGGAGTGATGCAGACTGAGTTCACATCCTGGTGTTCTTCTGACTGGCTGAGTGAGGAGGGCGTTTAACCTCAGTCCATTTCTCCATCTGCAAAATTGGAGGTTGGACCAGAATGATCGAGAAGACTCTAGAGTAGGGTTGCCAGATTTAGCAAATGAAAACAGGATACCCAGTTAACTTTGAATTTCAGACACACAACACACGTCCACTGAGGATACCATCTCCTCACCCTGCCACTGTGTGGTCCCTACTGTGTGAACACAAGATGGCTCAGAGGGGAGAGCAGGGCTGTCCCAGGCAGACTCCTAGGAGCTGGTTGGAACCTGGCTTCCCCTGCTAGCACCGTCCACATGGAGAAGCACTCACCCTCTTGGAGGCTCCTTCCTCATGGGTCAAGTACAGACAGGACAGTGAGAGCCAGCAGTAGCCACTGCAAAGGCTGTGGGGATTTAGCAGGGGGCCCATCTCAGTAGTGGTGTGACCTTGGGCTAGTCACTTCACTTAGAGACAACGCAACATGAAGAGCTCAGGCCAGCACTAGGCACATTTCAGTGTTCCACCCAAGGCAAGAGGGGGTGGGAGAAAGGTTGGAGGTGGCAAAGCTTGCCTGGGACCCTTGAATCATATCTATTTTGAGTGTGAGTAGGGCTTGGGGCCCCCCAGCAGGGACAGATTGGGGTGACACACGAGGACCTAACCTCAGAGGAGTGCCCCCAAAGCTGTTCCAACCCAGAAAGTCTGGCACACAACTGGTCACACGACTAACCCACAAACAAATAACTTTAATTTTTTTTTTTTTTTTGAGCAGGAGCCGGGCCTTGAGGGCCCCCGCCCCCGCCCCGCGCCACATTTATGATATAACCCATCACAGCTGGATTTAAAAAATACACAAAAAAATATATAATATACATTATAAAACCTAGGTTGGGTTTGGACGTGGCCTGAGCGAATGCAAACTGTGAGGACCTTCGGGAAGCTCAGGGGCAGGGCGGGGGGTAAGGAAGGGAAGGGGCACAGTACTTCATATGAAACTCATAAATACCCAGAGGCGGCTGGTGGGCAGGCCGAGCTTGCTGAGGGGCCTGGGTGTTGGGAAGGGGCAGCAGGGGAAGGGTGAACCTTCAGTCCCAGAACTGGGTCTGGGGAGCTACTGCTCCAGGCCAGAGAGACTGAGGCGGGGAAGAACATCAGGGAGCAAAGGATTCACCAACCCAAGTCTTGGGCAAGAGAAAATATCAAAGCCTTCTGCTACTCCTTGTCCCCAGGCCACTGGTCTGCCCAGAGGTGGGACTCCATCTTCCCACCGGACCCTCCAGCCTAGGGCTGAGCCTGGGCCTGCCTCTGGGGGCCGTCCCCCATCAGTAGGCTTCTGGGGGGCTCGGGCACCGGCTCTGGGCTGTTGGAGGAGGTCGGCACAGGAGGCTCCTGAGGCCTGGCTGGATTGCAGGCTGACAGAGGGTGCGCACCAGGTGCCGCGTACCCGCTGCTCCCCCTCTTCCCGCCTAGTCAGAAGCAGCTGCTCCCCTGTGTCAGGGGCTCTGGGAGGAGGCACTCTGTTTGGGCCCCCAACCCAGCTGGCTCCAGCCCCTCAGCGCAGACCCTCTCTCCAGCCCCTTGTGGCCAGCCCCGCTCCAGGGAGGTAGTGTAAACCTGGGTTCTGGGGACAGGCAGCCCTGGGTAAGAACTCCAACTCTGCCCATCCCTCAACTTCTCGGAGCCATCAGAGACACCGAGACCCACGCGTGCCTTGCAGGGTCCGAGGATGGCACGAGGCACATTGGGGACCCGGCACACAGCAGGTACAAAGAAAGCATGGGCCCCTTTCTTCTTCTCAACCCAACCCCAACTCAATACTCTCCTTGCTGGGGCCTCTGCATTGCAACTCCCTCAGTCTCCATTCTACCCTCACCCGCCTGTCACACTCCCCCGAGGGGCCGGTGGCCACACACGCCTGAGCTCAAAGGTGTCCTCCCCTTCCTTCAAGGCTGGGCAGAGCTGGGTGATGCTGGTTCAGCGTCCCGGGCAAGCTGCCCCACCGCTGAGCCCACCTTTCTTCTCCCACAATTAAAGCGCAGAACAGTGGCAGGGAGTGTGTGTGCTGGGGGTAGGTGGGGAGGCCTCCTGGGTCCTGGGCCTGAAGCCTGGCAGGTGGATGAGTCCTCAATCCTGGACCTCTGGGGGTGCCAGGCAGGTATGCAGAAAAGATGCTCATCCTGGATCCTGGTGGTGAGGGCAGAGGGCACCTTAGTCCTTGACGAGCTTGTAGACGTGATGCTGGGCCCCGTGCTCGCTGGTGGAGACTTCGAAGACGAAAGCAATGACAAGCAGGGTCTCCTGGGAGTCCCGGCTCGTGACCACCTGGGGAATGGGTAGGACGGTTCAGGAGGTCAGGCAGCACAGGGCCAGAAGTGTGGGGGCTGAGTAGACCCTTCTCCTTTCTGGGTCTCAGTCTCCTCATCTGAGCTATGGGCCTGGCCACCCCCACTTTGAGGCCCCTGCACATGGGGCCATCCCGTGACCCCCCCACGACCCCTGCTGCCCCCACACCTGCAGGATGGTGAAGTTCTCCAGGACACTGTTCATCATGTACTTCTCAGGCAGGTGTTTCAGCTTGTGGATGAAGTTGATCATGTACTCGCACATGGGCGAGCGGTGGATGCGGTACACGAAGCGCCCGTTCTCCAGCCTGGCGTACTCGGTCTGCGGGCAGCCGGGAGAAAGCATCACTCGGCATGCCTGGTCCCAGTCCCGTGACGCCAACCTCCGGCCCCCACTCACCTCTACCTTCTCCACCACCTGCTTGCCAAAGGAGCACACCTTGGTGGAGACGCTGATGGTCATGCTATCGGCCGAGCTGTACTGGGAGCTGACCCCATAGAAGGCTCCCGGGCCCTCCTGGATGGTGCTGTTGAGGTCGGCCTGGAGGAGGGGGCAGGGGTGGCGTCAGGTGCTGGCAGAGGCCAGAGGGAGGCTTCCTGCCCAAGGACCCATCTCCAGGACTCTGTCCTTAGGCCGTGAGGAGAGAGGGCAGGGTCAGGGTTCAGTGGGGTGGGCAGGGGTGTACGCACATCTGGGAGGGACGTTGTCGGAAGCAGAGAGGGACGAGGGCGGCTTACCCAGAACTTGACGAGGAAGAAGGCATTAGGGGGCCCCTTCTCATAGAGCTCCTTCAGTCCACCCTTTTTCTCGGGGAACTTGTCGTAGATCTGACGCACATCCACTGCCTCCAGGGGCGGGTCCGAGAAGGCGGGGTTCGTCTGGCCGATGTGCACGAACAGGTGTTTGCTGTACTGTTGGGAGGGCCCAGTGCAGGGTCAGGAGAGCACTCAAGGGTGCAGGCCTGGGGCGCTGCACGGGGACAGAACTGCCCTGTGGCTTCCCAACCCCATGACCGTGAGCTGTGGCCGTGGACCACCAGGCCAGGGTCTCTCCACGACTGCACAAACCCTCACCCTCAGCCCCAAACACATTACCGTGTCAGGGTCTCGCTGCACCTCCATGAAGGCGGAATACTCAAGGAGCCGCAGCCGGGAGGAGGCAATGGTGCGGTCTTGCCACACAGGCACAGAGGCAGCAGCTGGGGGGAGCGGGGCCAGGGGCTCGTAACCTGGGGGGACAAGACGGACCCTCATCTGCATGGGTGCGTGTCCTGGTTATATAGACAGCTGCCCCCAGCATGCACAGAGCCTTTGTGCAAATTAGAAAATGGCGCCCTTTTAGGTAGGAACATGGGCTGGATTTTGACTCCCCTGCCAGGAGTCCTTGCACAGTATACAACCTACACGACATGTGTGGTGGCCCTAAGAGCATACATCAGTGGATTTTTCCTTATGTCACTATTAATGTGTGTTCGAACAGAAAATACAGACTAGTAAAAAGGGAAAAATAAAAATTACCCAGAATTCCAATACATATAGATATATGTACATAATATGTATATGTAATATGTATATAATAATATATGTATATATAAATGTAATACTTTTGGTGGTGTGTACTTGTAGCAGAGTTTTGGAAGCAACATTGTAAAAGGTTGGGCTATTCCATTGTAAAAAGAGGACTAATCCTGGCCTGTCCCAATCCTCCATAGGTGCCGCCCACTCCTTCCTCCCAGCGCGCGCGCACACAGACACACACACACACACACACACACACACACACACACACACACAGAGTTAGACCCCAGCTCTCCTGAGCAGAGGTGCAGGTGCCAATGGAGGGGGAGGGGGAGGTGGCAGCCCCAGGTGGGAACTTACTGCTGAGCGTCGGCGGCAGGGGCGGCTGGATGGGGTAGGCTGGCTGTGCAAAAGGCTTGATGCTGTGGACAGGAGCACAGCCTGGTTAGAGGGTCACCCCTTCCCCACATTCCACCTGCCCAGTCACTTGGGGTCTCATGTGGGACCCCAATAGGGCACCACCCAACCTTTCTGCAGAGACCCAGAAACGCATGCTGACAAGCTAACTCAACGAGCTTTTTTTTTTCCCTCACATCTTAACTTTTATGAAATCCTGCTGCATCTCACCATTGACGTGCACGTGTAATGTAGCATTTCAGCCCCACCCTGAAGAGCTGTTCATTAAACTGAGGGTGTGCATCTCAGGATGAAAGTCATCTTAGAATTGAAGGAACCGAGTATACTCGACTCCCTGACTCGTTGACTGAGAGGCTGGCGTGGAGATTAACTGAATGAAAAATGACTGAAGGGCAGGTGACGAGGGGCCGAGTGGGCTGATGAGTGGACAGGCAGATGCATCAGCTCTCTGACTGGCGCTCGCCATCCTTCTATTTTTGAATTAAAACTCTGCTCAGCTGTTGCTGGGACGCAGATGGGCATGGAAGACCAGCGTGGCCGCGCAGGGAAAGAAGGGGATGTGGGAAGGAGGCGCCACAATACTCACTCCTGCGAGGGTCCAGGCTGCTGTCCCAGGAGAGGGGGGCTGCTCCAGAACTGCAGAGATGCGACAAAGCCCAGGGGCCCCTCAGTATCCATGCCCCCCCACGGCCCCGCCCTGAAGGCACTCCCTCACCCCAGCCCCGCCTCCCAGGAGCCCTGTACCCGTGAGGACGTGGAGAAGACGGCCTGGGGCAGAGGGGAGGGTGGGCTGAACTTGTTCTGGAGGACGCTGGCGGAGACGATCTGGGCGGAGGACATGGACGCCATGCTCTGGAGGGCTTTGTCCTTGGAGACCTGGTCCTGGGGAGGGAGGGGCAGTGTGAGGCCCGGGCTCAGGGCTCCGGGAGTCTAGATCTGGATTACAGCCCCAGCTCTGCTGAGTGGGCTCAGGAGAGTCTCCACCCCTCTCTGGGCCTGTCTCCTAAGTGTCCATCACCCCTCTGACCACAATCCACAGTAAGAAATAATTTCATTTTATTCCATAATCCAGTATATATCACAATATGTGCCCTTATTTTGTGTGTCATGCACTCTCATATTTTCTATTCTATTTCATCAGTGGTTCTTAAAATGTGGTCCGTGGACCAGTAGTGCCAGCATCACCTGGAAGCTTGTTAGATATGCACATTCTCAGGCCCCAGTCCAGACCTACTGAATCAGAAACTCTGAGGGTGAGGCCCAGAAACCTCCAGGCGATTCTGATGCATGCTGAAGTTTGAGAACCACTACATTTCATTTTTTAAAAATGCTGTTTGCAAACCTCTTAAATTGATTTCACAATCCGTAATCGGAAAATCGGATATTAGGTGCTCTCCCTCCATCCCCCCCCAGGGGAGGGGCAGTGCTACTTACCAGGTTCATGGCCTGTGAAGGAGAGAGAACAGATTAGAGGAGACACAAAGGAGGGCCAGATGGTGGGGCGGCCATATCTTTTCACCTCCCTCCACTCAGTGCCCACCTGGCTCTCAGCTCCTGAGGAGCCCAGGGAAGCTCAGAGGCAGCTGTGGATCCTCCCCCAGCCCCAATGCCACCCAGAGGGAGTGCCTGCCAGCTGGGGGTGCCCTGGAAAGGGTAGGATGAGGGAGGACAGGCTGGAGACCCAGAGAGTGGACCAAGCTGGTGCCCCTTGGGTCTGTGCGTGTCCTCTGTAGCTGTGCTACAGGTAGAGTGGGCTGGGGTGGGAGGCCCAGTCTGCTGGGCAGCTGTGGTCAGTGAGAAGATGACGCAACCTACAGGGGCCCTGATAAGGACCCAGGCGATGAACCCTAGGCTCTGAGACCCTCAGCTGCAGAGCAGCCAGGATTGAGCATCCAATGCAAGGAATGGCCATGCTGCCACAATAGATCTGCCAGCCAATACCCCACAGTGTCTCCTCCCTGCCCACCTGAAGTCCCATGCAATCAGCAAGCAGCAATTAGGAGGAAGGAGAAAAAGGAGAACGGAGAAGAAGAGAGGTGGGCCTTAGTGGCCCCCAGACGGTCTTCCTCTCTCTCGCTGTAGGGCTGGCTGTCCCCTTGGACTCCTGCTTCATCTCCAGGGGCCGTGGCCCTGTGTAGCCTGAAGTGGTCTCTGGCTTTCTTGCTGCTGTGTGTGTTTGAGACACACCCCCCACCACCCAAGTTCCTCAGCTCCCTCCCTGTCCCAGGCTGGGGTCTGGACAGGGCCAGGCCAAATGGCAGGGGACCCCATACCTTCAGCTTGGACTGAATCTCCCGAGATTTCCGCCTGGCTAGAACCTGCAAGTGGCTAGAGACCTGCAGAGAGAGAGAGAGAGAGAGAAAAAGAGCAGAAAGAGCAAAGAAGAGGCAAGAACGGAGCTTCAGCTAGAAGAGAGGCGCAGTGGGGCCGGAGAGCCGGCCCAGGCAGAGGCCCGAGCCGTGCAGAGATCGCGGTGGAGGCGCCGTGGGTAAGGGGCCCGGGAGGGGCTGGAGGCCCCAGTCAGGCGCCCAACATACCTTGATGCCAACCTGGTACTCCCGCACCTTCTTCCGAGCTAGAACCTGTATGTGGCTGGACACCTAGGGGCCGCCCCACGCCCCGCCAGAGAGGAAAACACAGACAGTGAGGAGGCACAGCATGGGGCAGCCACGGGCAAGGAGCATCCCAGCCCTCATCTCTGGGACCAAATGTAAGTGGGGGGGAACTGTGGGGCCCCTGTGGACAGACACCCCTGAGCTCTGACAATTCTACTCTCTTCTTGGCTCTGTCTTGATCAAAAGCCTTGATCAAGAGTGGCTTCCAGGACCACCATGTACAGTTGTACAGGTTGTTCACTGCACAAGAGCATCTGGCCTAGTGAGGGCAGGCTAACCTCTGTGGGCCAAGCTATGTGCCCTGGTCCAGGGCTGCATCTAACCCAGAGGAAGGGTATCTTTTCATTTTTCCAAAAAGGGGTGACGTTTTCTCACTGGTATCTTCAGAGGAGATACTTTTTTCTAACTGGCATCACAGAAGCTAGCAATGGCCATAAGGCTCCTGCTGGCCATCAGATTAAACATCAAGGCCAGATCCTCTACGAAAGATCCTTGTACCACTGCCTAAGTCCTCCTGTCGACCCCAAGAGCTTGCCAGCCTATAAACCAGGCCTGGGCCTACTCCTGCTTTCCTCATGCAGCTTCTTCCCCCAACACACCTTCCTCCCCCTCGGGCTCCTATATGGCAGTATACATGTATGTACACAGTAGGTGCTCTTTCTTGCCTTTCTTCTCCAGCACCTCCTCCCGAAGCCTCCCTCTCCTGGCAAACCTGCACTAATCATAGTCCGGATGGGTGTACCATGGGCTTGCACAACAGACCCTTGACATTGTTGGGGATCTGCCCCTGAGCCTCAGAGAACCTAAATGTCACTGTTTCCCCAGGAAACACAAGGGAGCACGTGGATCCTCTACTCCACATAGTCCTTATCAGCAATTGCTGTTGGCTTTCTTTGCAAATCGTTTTCCTCCCCACAAAGAAACAGTTTCTTTTTCTTTTTTCTTTTTTTTTTTTGTGAGGAAGATCAGCCCTGAGTTTAACATCTGCCAATCCTCCTCTTTTTTTTTGCTGAGGAAGACTGGCCCTGGGCTAACATCCGTGCCCATCTTCCTCTACTTTATATGGGACGCCGCCACAGCATGGCTTACCAAGCAGTACATGGGTGTGCGCCCGGGATCTGAACCGGCGAACCCCGGGACCCGCAGCGGAGCGCGCGCACTTAACCGTTGGCGCCACCGGGCTGGCGCAGTTTCTTTTTCTTTTTAATCCCAGACTGAAAGTTACTATGTATGTGGTGCTGGGCAGGCCCCACCCTACTTGGTTAGGACCCAGGTGGGCGCTCCTCACGCTGCCCCACTGGGCACAGGAATCAGACATAAGTCCAGCAAGATCACTGACCACTTCACATCATGACAATCGCTGACGTACTGAGCACGGCTACTATCATTCTCAGCACTTTACTTGTAGCAACCCATCTGACCTTCACAGCAACACTAGGAAGTCGCTACTAATATTATCACCGATTTACAGATGATGGAACCAAAGTACAGAGAGGTTAAGCAGCTTATCCAAGGTCACGCAGCTGGAGGCTAGAGCTGGGATTTGAACCCAGGTGGCCTGACTCCAGAGCGTACTTGCTCCACCACCAAGCTACACTGCCAGGCCTCTGAGACCTTTGCTGCCGAGGACCCCTCCACGTGGTCAGCTCGGTGACAGCTCAAAGTCACACGGGGCTTAATCCTCACGTAATACTCAGCTGTTTTTTCAATATGGAGGCATTGTACTTGCTATTAATTGCTGTATGTATCCATAAAAAACTAAAACTGCATTTTTTGTTTTTACCAAAAGTAGAATAAAAACAACCAAAAAAAAACCTTGCCTGTCAGCTGGTTGCTTTTTTGACACATAAAGATATGCCTTGTCCTCACAGCCAAAGGATGGCTCCCCTTTTAAGGAGCCATTAGACATCAGAGTTCTAAGAAAGAATAAAGTTAGAGGAGGCCACCCTTGAAAAATGACACAGGCTAGCAGTTTTTAAAATTTTGAGGGCTGGCCCCGTGGCTTAGCGGTTAAGTGCACGCGCTCCGCTGCTGGCGGCCCGGGTTCAGATCCCGGGCGCGCACTGACGCACCGCTTCTCCGGCCATGCTGAGGCCGAGTCCCACATACAGCAACTAGAAGGATGTGCATCTATGACATACAACTATCCACTGGGGCTTTGGGGGAAAAAATAAATAAATAAAATTATAAAAAAAAAATAAGTAAATAAAATTTTGAGCTTGCTGACAGCTGGGTGGTAAAACTTCACTGGACAGCCAGCCTTCCCAGGACACGTGGCCAGGAGCAAATGCTGGACCCAGAATCCAGAGGCTCGGCCACCCTCCCTGGGCCTCAGGTCAAAGTGACCGAGCTTCAAGACGCCCGGCCCCCTCCCACTCTGACCAACTGGTTCCCGTCAACATGTCTTGCGGATGAAGCAGGACGCGCTTCTTCTGGCCCCGGGATGGCCTTCTGTTCACAGCAACAGCACTAATACCAGCAACAGCAGCAGCAGATCCTCACACAGTGCTCACTCTGCTCTAAGTGTCTTCGCATACTGGCTGATTTACTGGCTGAGGAACAGAGGCTGGCAGGGGAGACACCCCCTCCTCGCAGGTATTTGAACCCGGCAGTCTGATCAGTCATATTCCTCCTGCAGCCCCAGGCTCCAGGGAACAGGGCCCTCGTCTGTCCGCTTCCCCGTTGTATCCCTAGTGCCTAGAACGCAGTAGTAGCTCAATAATTTGCTACATGAATAAGCGCTGTGCAACACGAGCTGGCCCAGGGAGAGGGGGTAATTGACACCTGGAGAAATGAGGGAGCGTTTCTGCTCCCACGCTGGGTGGGGGGACCCAGGACCTTCCTTGGAGACAGTGGGGTGGGCCAGGTCAAGCTTGTCATATGCACTTGGGGACCTGGGGGTGGGCGCAAGGTCCAAACCCCACCCAGACAGGCAGGCTGGGAGGGCTGAGGGTCAGAACCGGCGTCCGCTCGTCCAGGTGCCTGCCTCCAGCCTGCCTTTCTCCCAGGCAGCCCACACTCAACCCACCCTTCAGGCTTCCTGTCACCACACTGCTACCCACCCTGGACGGGAAGCACCCAATCATCGCAAATCATCATTGTTCCCATCCCCCCACTGCCACCCTAACCATTGTACCATCACTGCTGCTCTAGGGCCCTGCCTCCACCCGGCCCTCTCTAAGCCACTGCCCCAGCTGCTCCAGGGCCAACATTCCTCGACAGCTGCCACCCACCCCTCCCTGCTTGATTCCCTTCCATGGCCCCCAGCCGCCCCTGGGGAAACCTGTCCCTCCGGCCTCTTGCCGCCCCCCAGCTCTTCCCACTCTTCCTGCCGCCACACCACACACCACACTGCTAACTGATGGCTCTTTCCTGCCCGGTGGGTTGAATCCTGGATCCACCACCTACCAGCCGAGTGACCTTGAGGAAGTTACTTAACTTCCCCGTGCCTCAGTTTCCTCATCTGTAAAATGGAGATAATTACTATACCTACCTTGTAAGGTTGCTGTGAGGATTAAATAAATTAATACAGAGTAAGCTCTATATGAGCTCACAATTATTATTTGCATACCCAACTTCCTCAGCCTGGAAGAATCGTCTCCCTCTTTTCTGCCTGGCTAAATTCTATTCCTTCTTAAAAATGCATCTTGAGCGTCACCTCCTCCAGGAAGCCTTCCCAGCCCTCCCTCCTCCCTTCTCCTGCCTGGTCCTGGTTAGACGCTTGTCGGGCAGCACACACCCATATCTCAGCTGTGCCACCCTGCTCTGTCCTCGCCTGTCCAACTCTCCGTCTCTTTGACTGGTCAGGGCCACTCAGGGCAGTGATCATGCAGCTGCCCCATGGGGCTTATCTGTGGTCACCAAACCAAAGGCCTCGGCGGGGTGGTGGTGGTCAGAGAGGTCAGAGAGGACAGTGCCCCTTTCTCTAAGACAGTGGGAAGAGTGATGGAGCAGCCCGGGGGAGTGTGAAGTCCCCGGGGAGAGGGCCGGGGGAGCAGGCTGGGCAAGGGGGCACCCGGAGGAGGTGGGCAGCAGTGGGAGAGCTCCGGGCAGGAAGGGGCTGAAGGAGGCAGCTGAGAGAGTGTGTGTGGGCAGAGGGGCCGCACCATAAGTCATCTCTTTACCTGTTTTCTCGTCCGAGTCTTCCCCGTCCTCAATTTAATATAGCGTGCGATCAACTCATTTCGACCTAGATTGGGGTGAGAGAAAAGATGAGGAGGGGGCAAGGGGGGAGCTGGTGGCTGGAGACACCCCCCCACCAGCTGGAAACCACACCAGGCCCTCCCCCAAACAATGCTCTGCTGTTCCCTCCCCACCGTCTTCACTCCAACCCCCACCCGAGAGGCACAAGCAGGGCAGGGGGAGGGTGGTGGGGAAGTCCCAAGGCTGCCCCCACCGCCTCCAGGACCTGAGGGGCTGCTCGTTGGGGGAGGGGGTGAGTAGGGGGCAGCAGAGCAGGAACCAGGTTGGGACAACGTCAGGCGGCCTGATAGGTTTCCCTGCAGACGGACAGGGGCAGGTGTGGCCCAAGGGCGGCAGGACAGCTGGGCCCCTCACTCCCAGCCCCCAGCAGGGCTTCCTTCTTCCCCGTGCTCCGTCACCAGCCCCAAAGCTCTGAGTGTCTGTATCCTGCGTGTGAGCGAGGTCTGCCCTGGGTGGCAGACATTTCGGCGCACGTCCGTCTCCGTGTTCGCCTGAGAGAGTTCTGGACGGGGTTCCTGTGCTAGCTGTCCCAGCCATGGAGGGAGACCCTGGACAAGTCCCTTCCCTTCCTGTGAAATGGGCAGGAAGAACCGGATGGTCTCCAACCTGCCGCCTACACCGACAGCCTGTGTTAGGATGCATCAGCAAGCGCGTCACTGTGTCCTTGAGCCTCTCACCCCCATGTCACCGGTTACCAGTGTCTCTCCCACCCAGCTGCCTATCAGCCTTGGGGTGGGGGGCTCTGCTCAGCACCACAGACCCTCTGAGGGCCCAGAAACTGGCCAGTGTCCAGGCGGCTGGGCTCAATGAAAGGGGTGCTTGGGACACATGGCTCAGGGCATGTCAGGGTCCTCAGGGGGTATACCTCTTACCCCCCAAATCTAGGCCCCTGTCCCCCAACTCCATAGCCTCTCCAGAACAGCCACATTCTCCAAATTCTTCTTCGATGACAGACAGCCCCACCGCTCCTCCTTTCCCGCCTGCCCCTCTCCACCCCACTCCCTCGCCCGGTCTAAAAATACCGTGTGGGGCTGCCCCAGCCATCTGGGAGGTAGCTTTGGGGGCAGGCAGCCCCCACCCTATGGGGCACCCTGGAACATCTGCCTGCCCTGTGAGTGGGGCTCTGGGGCGAGAGGTGGGCGTGGTGCAGCGGGTGGTGGCAGTGGGACATGGGGCAGCCCTTACCACTCGACCCAGCTGTCTCCTCCCTGCACCCGCCATGGCACTGGACACTGGGAGGGGACAGGCTGAGGGCCTGCCTCACTTAGCCATAGGCTGTCAGGGAGGGTTGCAGTGAGCTGGCAAGGAGCCAGGCCCAGAAGAGTTGAGTTATCCCAAAAATGCAGCTCTGGGAGAGCCCTCTCAGGGCTGGACAAGACGGGGACACTCCCTTCTGGAGGCAGGAGGTGGGCAAGATGGCAAAGAGAGGGGCCAGGAAAGCAAGAGAGACTTGGGAGGGGTGTGAGGAAAAAACGAGTCCCCTCGTCTCTCCAGCCCTTTTCCCAACACAGGCCTTTGCCACAGTGTGGCCTGCCCCCACTCTGCAGCCCCTCACCCACCCCTCCCCACATACACCGGAGGGAACTCACAGTGGGAAACCCTGCCTTGTGCTGGGACTCCCACTCCAGGCCTCACCCCTCGGGCTACCCTACATCCTCCCAGGGGAGGCACCCTCTGCCAGGCCTAGCCTGGAGCACACCAGACTGACCCAGTTTCCTGGGCCCACTGAGTCACCCCGAAACCTCCAGGCCAGCAGGGGGGAGGAGAGGAGGAGCAGATGGGGATGTCAAGGTGTGGGCCAAGCTCTGGTGGAGGGGGCAAGCCCGGCTTGTTTACAAGGAGGATCCAGACACACAGGCTCGCACGCCCAGACTCGCCCATGGCGGGCTGGCAGGACTTTGCCAAACCGGTTGGGTGAGGGGGCAGAGAGCAGGGGGAGGGGCTGAGGAGGGCCAGGCCGCCTCCCCCAGTCCCGTCCAGTGTCCCTGTGCCTCCCCACACGCACCGTACATCTTGCCCTCGTCCGACAGGATGATCTTGCGGCGGCCACAGGGCGGGTAGATGGCCAGGGCCTCCTGGAAGCTCTGCTCGATGTCCGGGCTCCACACGCCCTCCGCGTCATTGTCCAGCCCCTTGTCCAGGCCCTCGGGCCCATCTTCCCGGGCCTCCCCGGGGCTGCTGCTGGCGTTCCAGCTGTTGGACGCTATTGTGCTGGTTGCTCTGGGCTCTGGACCTGAGCCCACTGGGCAGCCTGCGCCTGGGGAGCGGACGCAGAGGGTTAGGGCCAGGGTCCTCCCACCACACCAATCTCCCCCCCGGGGGCAGGTGCTCCAGGGCGGTGGGGGTAACCAGAGGTTGTGCGTATTCAGTGCAGTGTGACCCTGGGTGAGCTACTTCACCTCTCCGAGCCTCCTGTCCTGTGAAATGAGGAAAGGGTCTCCTTGAGGTCGTGACGGTTAAAGTTAAATAAGATCACCACAAAACGCCGACCCCCATGCCTAGCTCATGACGCTCAAGACAGTACTGGTGGTGATCAATAACCATGACGATAATGCTTTATACCTCCACGGCACTTCCATGCGGAAAAAGCACTTTTATATTCATTCAATCCTCGAAACTAAGGCAGGGAGGGCAAGGAGCATGCCCATGATTCAGATGAGGAGAACCGAGGCGCCTAAGGTCACGCAGCTGCCAAAGGCATCACGATGAGCAAAGAGAGAAGGAACACGGGCAGGGCCCGGCGTCTCCGTGGCTCTCAGAGGGCTCCTCCCCCGTCATCGGGATCCACCTGGGACCCCAGCCTCTCATTCTCCTCCCAGCATCAGCGCAACCCTGCTGAGGACCACGTGTGGAACAAGAAGGGTCCTGGACCCAGGAAGGGTGTGTTTTTGCCTTCCCCAAAAGATAACTCACAAGAACCTGGCCAAGAGATCTAAACGTGGGGCAGGGACTGCCCCAGGAACTGCAAGACGGGACCGACGCTGGCTAAGGTGCCTGGCCCACAGCCTCGCTCAGCCCCACGTGCTCCTCCATCCCACTTCCTGTTCCCGCACCTCCCGGCCCCACAGCAGCCCATAAACTACCCACACGCCGCCCCTGCCCTGGCCCGCATCGAGGGTGGGCCCAGGCTCCGTCAACTCTGAGCTCCCCGCACACGCCAGGCTGGCTTATTAATTTAGACCACACCCCTCCAGTCCCCCAACACACACAGCCCAAAGCTCACCCCCAACTCCCGCTGGCTGGCCTCAGCATCTGCATGCTCAACGCATATCCGGGTCCTGGGAGACTTAGAGCCCAAGATGGCTAGATCCTGGGGCTTTGCTCTGGGCCACAGGAAAGCACGTAGGGAGGTGGGGGACCCCCTCAGAAGCCAGGGAAGAAAATTCTTTCCCTTCAGACATGAATTCCAGGTCCTGCCAAATTGGTGGGGGTTCTCCCTGTGGGGCTACCCGTTTGCTTAGGGAGGCCTGAAGGGGAACACTAGCGGCATGAGATGGGGAGGGCCCAGGGTGCCTGAATATCAGATGGATATAGAGTTTAGACTTAATGACAGCACCTGCCATATGGAGGCACTGTTCTGGGATTTTACACAAATTTACTCATTTAATCCTCATAATAACCTATGGGATAGATACTATTATTATTCCCACCTTACAGATGAGGAACCAAGGAACAGAGAGCTCAAGCAACTTGCCCAAGGACACACAGCCAGTAAGTGCTAGAGCCAGGTTCTGAACCTGGGCAATGTGGCTTCAGTCTCTTAACCAAAGGGATGGGGCTGAGATGCCCCACCACCTGTAATGAGAGAAGAGGCCCAGCTGCAACCATGCTGAGTCTGCCCAGTGGGGTCCAGACCAGGGGGCCGCCCTCAGCCCAAGTAGTTGGAGCAACTTCAAGGACCCCCACACTGCTGTAGCCCTTTCTGTGAGGCCTCCAAGGCCACCAGGAATAGCTCCCCTACACCAGAGGATAGCCAGAGAGAGAGGAAGCCACACTCCTGACCAGTCAGAGGGGCCACAGTCCTCTCCTCCCAGCCTGTCTCTCACTCCAGGAAGCTGTATCCCCATCCCCATCCCCTCCTCAGCCCGGAGGCCAAGTTCTTAGAATGAAAATGTGAGGGAGCAGGGAGTCTGGGGGGGGGCCCAGTGACACCTACATTGAGGTAGTTGGGATGCAGGACCTCCCCCCAGTTCTGACACTGCCACAGGCTGTCAGAACGGAGGCAGAAGAGGGGCTGCAATGAGCCAAGACCCCTCCTAACGGAGTTGTCAACCCATTCCCCCAAAATCCTTTCCTGAGGCCTCCCTCAGAGCAGCAGGGGACCAGCTCATGGGGTGCCATGGCAGCCCCAGACTTTTAAAAGCAACTTCCCTGCCTCCCCCAAGTCTCTGCCCGCCTCCCCTCATCCAGGCGGTGGCCCCCCCTTCTCGAGGTGATGTCAGCCCCGCCCCGCCCCCCGCAGGAGCACTGTGGCCAAATATGGCGAACACAGCAGCGCTTGGGAGCTGGGACAGACTGGGGGGGCGGGGCAGCAGCCCCTGGCTGGGACCGCTGGCAGCTGGTGAGGGGGAGGGGAGACGAGGGGGCGGCTACAAGGACGAGTCAAGGAGAGAAGAGGGACCACCGTCCCTTCCGCTGGCTCCTGGGCACTTGCAAGACTCACTTTCTAGGAACACTCCTGTGGGCAGAGGCACCAACATAGGGGCCCGCAGGTGACCCCCACCACACACAGCCATGCACAGGAGTACATGTGTGCAGGTATGCTGTGTGGGTGCCCGGGTTGACACTCAAATGAGAATATTTGTACCCCCAGGCCGAGGCACACCAATGGATAATGGCGGGAAAGCAGCAGCACCAGGCTGGGGGCTGAACTGGGGTCTCTGCCCTACTGCATCACTCAGGAGGGAGTCTGGACTGGCTGCCCTGGTCTTCCCAGAGTTACTGCTGTGGGATGAGACAGAGACTAGTGTGTGCCCACCCTCTTCTCCTTAGACCCCCAAACCACTGGGACCCAACCCTGGGGGTGAGGGAGGAGGCTACGGGCTCCCCAGACAGCTGCGGGGCTGGACTGAGGCAAATGTGGACTGAGGCGTGGTTGAGGGGGGCAATCTAGAGGGGGCTGCCTGGGATGAGAGGGCAGGCCCCCTGGGATGCCCCGAGCCCAGCAGAGGGTCTCATCTCCCCTGTACAGAGAGGGGCTGGGAGGGATGGCAGCCCGTTGACGCTCGCACAGGTGTCTAGAGCCTCTGCCTTGCTGGGCTGTGCCACTAAGAGGGGCAGGAGAGAGGGAGAAAGACCCAACTGAGGGGCAAGGTGCGTGGAGCCTGAGACAGACAGGAGGGGAAGGGGGAGACGGTGTGGGGGAGAGTGTGGGGTGGGGTAAGGAGAGGGGGAGACAGACTCGGATAGGCAGACAGACAAGAAAACAGACAAGACAGACAGCAGAGTCCCAGAGTGAGAGACGAGAAAAGAGACCTAGAGAGTGAACCTTGGAGTGAGACCCAGAGGGAGAGACAGAGATGGAGAGACAGAACAGGCAGAGTGTTGAGAGAGAGTCAGATCCACGGACAGTCAGACAGAGCCAGTGGATGTCGGGGGAGAGAAAGGAGAGGGAGAGAGTGTCATGACAGAGACCCAGAAAGACAGAGACCCAGATCCAGAGAGACAGAGACACAGCTGAGGAGGGTACGAGGGGCAGGAAGGGGAAAGAACAATAATCTCAGACACAGTCAGGCAGTGAGGGAGGGGGTGAGCCAGGAGGGGGACCAGGAGAGAGAAGGAATGAGAGGGAGAATGGGAGAGAGAGACTGAACACACCTGAAGCCAACAGAAAGATCCAGAGGCCAGGGCGGACCTAGAGGGAAGGAGTGACAAGGGAAGCCGTTGTAGGGGGCTGGGGTCAGCCACAACGGAGCTCTGTCCAGGATATCCCCACTCCTGCCCCATCCGCTCCCCCCGCCCCACCTCCTATTCCCCTCTGCAGAGGGCCTCGTATCACAACAGGCTTGGACCTCCTGTGGTCTCACCCTGCCTGTACCCTCAGTCTGGCCAGCCACGCCTGCTTCCCCCCTCCCTGCGCCCTCAGCCTTCTGAGGTCAGAAGGCGCCTCTGGGTGGTGGCAGGGATGGGAGGCTGGGTGAGCAGGCTTTGGGGCCCTGGGGAAGATAAGGGGCACCCTGCTGCCCACTCCCCACCCTGGGGCCAGACCTGCTGGAATAACTGGCTGGACAGCTCCAGGGATGGAGGCCAGAGCTGGGGCTGCTGCAGAGGCCCTAGACCCCCACCCCCTTCGGCCCCACAGCCTCCAGACCACCCAGCCCTATACCTCTCTCTCGAAGGGGGGGAGGGGTGCGGCCTGAAGCTTGGGCTCCCCCAGAGCCTCTGCCCTGGTGGGGGATGCAGACAAGGCAAGTCGAGGCAGGTGTCCCCCCCTTGACCCCCCCTACACTTATCCCTCCCCCTGAACAAGCCCAGTGACCCTACTGGGTCTAGTGGCCAGCAGCCGTCCACTCTTACAGGGACTGCAGCCCCCAAAGTGCTCTCACTTTGAGAACATCACTCAAAGTGTGAGAAGACTAGTGAAGTCAGCAGTTGCATCCCAAGTCCCCTGCCCCCAAACCTGGGCTGGGTTGACCAGCTAGGGCGTTGAGGATGGGGAGGGTAGCTGATGAGGGCTCAGGGAGCCTCCTCACCCCCTCTGCCTTTCCCTCCTTCCTCCCTCCCGCCCCCACAGCGGGGCCAGCTGTTCTCCAGCTGCCAGAGGCTCCCACCCTAGAAGTGGCCATGCTCTGGTTGGGACCGGAGAGCAGGCAGGGATGGGGATGGTGTCTGCCTCCCCCACCTTCAGCCCAAGGACCCCTGAGGGACTCTGCCAAGTGGCCACACCCTGCTAGGCTGGGGAGGGAGTGCCCTCCTCCCTGGAGCAGGGTCGGGATTTTTACAGGAGGAAGCAATTTGCAGATCCCACTAGGAGGGAGATGGGGGGGCATCCTCCCCTCTCCTCCGCTTATTAATGTGCTTCCAATTTGGGAATCAAGACTTTCTGCGCCCACCCACCCCCACTACTCAGGCACAGGCTTCTAGGGGAGCAGAGGGGGTGGGGTAGCCCCCAGGCTTCCTTCTCCATAGCTAATCCTCACTGTCACCGCCCCCCCAGCTGTGTAAGAGGGTGGGAGGGTAGAGACTCAGAGCCCTCAACCTCCTGCAGAAAGAAGGGGTCCAGTTCCCAGACCTCCCTTCACCCCAACTCGAGACTGTGCTGTCTCCTCATCTTGTGCCAGCGAAGGCCAGGTGTCCAGGCTGGGCAGGGAGGGACGCAGCCAACGGGGAAACTGGGTTTCAGAGTTCCCAATGAACATGTCCGTGGGGCCCTCGCACTCTGGGTCACCCACTGAGCTGCCACCAGTCAGTCAGTCCCCCCATCATGAGAGTCACAATGTCGTCTATAAACACACAGGCTTTCTCTCGGCCCCTCCTCCCTCTTATACACGCGACCCTCTTCACAGCCACTGTCCTGCACATTCACTGTGACCTGTACCTCTCTCCTTTCTGTTTTGTTTCTTTAATTTACTGTGATAAAATATACATAAAATTTACCATTTAAACTATTTTTAAGTGCACAATTCAGTGGCATTAAATACATTCCTTCTTTGTTTTTAAGTTACCTTTCTCATGGTCTTCCACATAGACGCCACACGCATCGGGGTCACAGGCCCCCAAATTTGTCACACACGGTCTCCCACGCCGTGTCTGGCACAGCCCTGAAGGATGTCACTCACACTGTCCTACAGTCCCAAACAGTCTCAGGTAGTGACACCCACAGAGTCAGTCTCAGTTACACCCCACACAGTTTCTCACACGCAGCGCCGCACACGGGGTTTCCTTCTCATCCTCCTCGGTTTCACCTACACACCTGACTTCACACTTGGCTTATCACAACAGCTTCTCAGCACAGAATGTACTGAATATAGTCCACCGTGTCACAGTGGTTTCCCCCTCACACACACACACGTCATGTTGTCACACAGTTTTTCTCATAGTGTCATATACAGTCACACACAGATCATCAGAGTTTCTACAAACCTGAGACCATCTCGTATGCTGCTCACACACATACAGCATCAGAAGTAGTCACGTCACAGAACCATACATCATACAGAATGTCACTCATTCTGCTTCTGACACACACAGCATCAGACAATCAGTGTCTCTCATACACATAGAGCATTAGAATCCTGTCCAATGTCAGGCACAGGGTCACACCGTTGGTCAAGCAGACAGTTTCTTTCATAAACATACCCCATGTGATGGCCACTCACACAGAGAAAATGTCACCCATACAGATGCAGTGTCACATAGTCACACACTAAGAACATCATTCATTCGGTTTCTCTCATGTCCATGCAGTATCAGTCACATATAGAGAATGTCACCATTTCTCTCTCACACATGAATGTCACAAAGTCACAATGTCACATTGTCACATACAGTTTCTCTCAGGTATATGTCCAGCCTCACATGCAGTCACACACACAAACTGGTTTTACCTGGTTTTCTCACACACGCAACCACCCCACACACAGTCTCACGCACACAGAATGTCTCACTCAGTGTCTCTCTCACACACATCCAGCGACACACACGGTTGCCCTCTCATTTCCCTCTATCACTTCCTGTCCTTTCGGGCCTGGCAGGGAGTACAGGAAACAATCAGCACTCTAGGAAACCCCAAGGGCTGAGGCTTTGGGGATGGGCAGAGTGACAGGATTCTCTGGCCCCTGCCTCCAGCCTCCTGTGGGGCCCTGAGAGGACAGGCAGAGCCCTCTCCTGCAGACAACCCCAGGCTGGCACAACACCAAGAGGGAGGGGAGGGAAGGGCAAGGCCATGGGGACAAGGCCAGGTGCCCTAGCTCTGACTGGAGAGGCTCCTGCCATGGTCCCGGGGCTGCCCCAGAAGTCCATGGAGACCTGGATCCTCGAGGCCACCCCTTGGACACCACAGCTTCTGCAGCCCCCATGTGGGAAGAAGAGACTGAGATCCCCTAGTCACCTCCACAGGAGTCGGCAGCATTTAAGCCCTCAGGGCTCCCCAGCTCCCTGTGCCTGGCACCATCGGCTCCCCTCCCCACTCTCCTCACTGTGAGCAGACCCCAGTGCTTCTCTCCCCTTCCTGGGCGAGGAGGTGGGCAGGACTGATAGCTCCTTTCCCTTCCAGCTTCCACACTGAGCCCCTAGAGGGGTCTGGAAGTCAGGCAGAGGGGCCTGCCATCCAAGCGGCCTCTGAACACCATTCATGCCGGCCTCTGAACACCGTTCATGCCGTGCAGCCTTGCCAGACCCCACTGCTTCAGAAGGCGAGTCCCTCCAACTCCACCTGGCCTCCCTGTCCATCAACGTCTGCTGCTGCAACCTTTTCAGCCACGCTCACGTGGTGTAGATACTCCTGTCACCCCCTGGTTTGTCTCTCCTTTCCCTTAGACCTCTGGATCACTCACTCACCTCTCCAGACCCCACCAGGTTCAGGTTCCACAGTGGGAGGAGAAGGAAGGCCGACTGGGAGACAGACTCTGGGAGGAACTCAGAGAAAAGGGACCTAGGAAGTCATTTATCCCAAGCAGGGAAACTGAGGCCCAAAGAGGTCCCCGAAGATGACACAGCTGGTTCAAGGCCCAGCTAGAACCAGATCTCTTATCTCTTGACCTCTGCTGAGATTTCTTCTGGTTTTAATATTTCCTCAACTGGCAGAATGTACCAGGGTCTGCAAACCTGAGGGTGAGGGCGGGAGCAGGGCCTAGGAGACAGACAAACAGACAGACAGACAGACAGACAGACACACACACACACACACACACACACACACACACACACCTCTGTCCTGCCAACCGCTGACCATCCTACTCAGCCATTCCCCAGCCCCAATGCCCTAATTAGCATTAATTACTGTTCCCTCCCTAGGGGGGTGGGGGAAGGCCCAAGAGATTGAGACTCTCATTGGCTCCCAGCCTCTCTCTGAGAAGGGGGCATCCTGGGCCCCTGATGTCACCCTCACCAGATAGCCTAGTCCTAGAAGCTCTCCATCCCCTGTCCAGAGAGTGAGCAGGGTCCAGAAGACCACAGAACCACATCCTGGTGTGGCACCCCTAGGGGAGGGGTCTTGGAAACGGAGCTACAAGAATCTGGAAAGGAGGAGGACATAATTCCCCCAAATCTCCAACTTTTGGGGACTTAGGATTTCCCTCCCTGCCTCAGGTTGCCCCCAGCGTTCGGCCAAGGAGGTGTCCTGGCCCCCTTCTCTGGGCTGGAACATATGTACACAGAATCAGGCCGCAGGAGACCGGATACACAGAGTGCCTTGGGCACCAGCCCCTTGGAGCTGTGTCCAGCCCCTACCCCCCACCTCCTACTCTCCTGGGCTACAAGTCCAGGCCTGACCTGGTTCTGCCTCTACCTGGAGAGAGGGAAGACACAGAGGAGGTGCCCCCTGAGAAGCCCTCCCCCAAGGCCTCATTCCCCCTGTCCAGAAAGAATCTCTCAGCCCTGGATCAGGGCCCTCTCCTGGAAAGGTGACAGTGTGGGGTCTCAATGACACTGCCCCAGGGCCTGGCTAGGCTAGGAAACCAGAAGCAGACAGGCACTCCCGGCTTCCCTCCCCAGGCAGGAGTAAAGGGCATAGGGCATGACAGACAATGGTGGTGATCCTGGGGGGACAAGCCTTCCTCAAACACTCTAAAGTCTAAACAAGGCCTCTGAGGAAGTGCAGCCAAGGCCCCAAATCCAGCCCCTTTGGAGCCAGGTTCCCAGAGCTCAGGGCTGGAACTCGAACTTCCACCGACACAGGCGACAGAACTGGAGAGAACTTAAGCCCCTGCCTCTCAGGGGTACCCGTCCAGGGGCGCAGCTTCGCCCCAGACACCCTCCACAAGCCAGCGCGGCCGCAGGCACTGCGCGCAGGAGCCGGCCTGGGCGCCGGGAGACCGAGCCCGAGGCCTGCGTGGAGCCGGGGCGGGCGGGCTCCGAGAAAGCGCGAGCCTGGAGTCCAAAGGGCGGCGGGCCCCGGGACCGGGAGCCCCGGAGACAAGCTCCCCCGGTGGCAGGCCCCCCCAAACTGTGCGGCCCGCAGACCCCTGCCTCGACACCCCATGCCCGGACGGTGGGGCAGGCGATAGCACCGGGCACAATCTCCCGGCTCCCCTACCGCCCCGGACCAACTCGTCCGGGTCGCGGGGGGGTGGGGGGTGGGCGGGGCTTCCCGGAGAGCTTTCCCCCCCTTCCCTCCAAACTTCCCGGCACTCAGATCCGGGGATCCAGCTCAGGCTGGACAATAGCTCGGGGACCCTGTCCCCCTCGAGCGTCCCCCACCCCCAATCCAGAGCCAACCAACCAAACCACCTCTCCCAGCAGGGCCTCCTCCCGGCGTCCGCCGGGCTTACCTGGTCCGAGCTCGGGGGGGCGCTCCGGCCAGGCCGCTCCGCTGGGCCCGAGGGGGCTGAGAGGGGGGCCAGGGAAGGGGGGTCGTGGGGAGGGGGCTGGCCGGAATGTGCGGAATGAGCCGGGCTGGAGCGGGAGGCGCCGGGCGCGGAGGAGGGAGCGAGCGGGACGGAAAGTTTGTGTTGAGGAGCCGG